TAAAAGGCCTAAGTATCTACTATAAAGGTACATGGAGCCTTAACTTACTAAGTCCCATGATCCTCCATGCAGGTCTCTTTGTCCTTGGTTCCCCTGGCCGATGCACCAGCAGAGCTACTGGAGCTCTTGGCGGCCCCAGCGCAGGCGCCACGCCTTGGCTTGGGCCTTCAGCTGAGGCACTGAGGCTTTGAGCTAGGATCCTCTGGAGTACCTCTGGGGTACCTGCTAGGGATTGCTTGTGTCAGTTCTGAGTTCGTGTTTCGGGCTGTGGCCACAATCTGGTGCGGGAGCAATGTTAGAAAATAGGGTAGGGAGCAGGAATGCTCTTTTCCCAGGTGGGATCCGCTTGGCCTGGGCTTCTCATCCCTCCCGCGAACTCGGAGGCCCAGCAATCAGCCGGAGATGGTCGGATGCTTGGGATTTGTTGCCTGCATTCGCGCGCATTGTAGGGGCAGGGTCTCCGTGTGTCCTGTAAGAGGGAAGGCTTAGTGGATCGCTTCTATTCCTTTCCAAGGCTCCAAGTTCAAGGTGTTCGTTGTTTCCGGGCTTGGAGGGCAAAGACTGTCTATGAGGCCTGCCCTGCAGCGCGTTGAACAGCACAGCACCCTCTAAGCCAGCCACTGGAAGAGGCCGTAGTCCGGAACGATCTGGTGCGCAGCCCGGCAGCCGGCACCGAGACTGGGGCGGCGGCGGCCCAAATACGCGCGGCCACTCAGCAGAGCAGAAACTTCTACGGGTTTGGGATGGCTTGGGATTAAGGAAGTATGCTGGGATCGTGTGCTCCGCTGTGGGGCATCGCGGCATCCAAGCCCCATGAGGTTATCTCCGCTGCATGCCAGATGCTCATCTCTGACTCCACAGTAAAAGCTGCTCGCGCTGCAATTGAAAAGGGGCGAGCGGGACCGGATGATTAACGCCTTGAGGGTTCAGACTGAACAGCTTTGAGTGGACTTGAATTGGTTTGACCGCATGATTTTGTGGTGGTTGGGCTTGAGCTTTGGCGCTTCGTTTGTAGCGCAGCCCACAACCAACAACATGAAAGAGCCTAGGCGCCACCCCTTGTTTGGGCGATTTCCATCATTTAAACCGGAAGTCCTAAATCGTTACGCCATGCTGGACCTCAGGCCAGAGCATGAATCTAATGGATGGTTGAGCATCTCAGCTTAGTTTCACCGAGGCTCTGGACGAGATGGACTTCGAGTGTGGGGATGCCGACTGTGGTGGCACCCACCGGGACGCTGCCGAGGCCCTCTTGGCCACCCTGGAGGTCGGCTCGGGAGTTCTAAGGGCTCCGTGATGTGCCTGAGATCCTCATAGGTCGTCATGTGCGCGCACGTAGAGGTTGGCAATATTGCGGAATGAATAGAGTGCATGTTGCTTTGGCAACACCTGGTCTAACATGTTCTGATGTGACATCACGTGGCTTCACTGCAGTGCGCGGGCACTTCAATAGAGTGCTTATAGGCTCTTGAACGAGAAAGCTTCCAGCTGCTCCCGAAGCTCGGAAGTCAGGGGTCGAAGGCACAGCGTGCACTTCTTTGAGCAAGCCCTGTACTCCAGCCTTGCGTTTTACGGCAGTTGCCTTGGCTGCAGGCCGTGCCAAGCGAGCCAGCGGATGCGCTTCGGTTCTTGGCACACCATTTGGAACACCAGTGCCGTGGAAGCTTGGTTGCATCAAGCCGTGTGTCTTCAAGGTTTTCAAATTGGGGCCCAAGTAACAGCAAACAGTTGAAGAGAGTCAACATCATCATTTGAGTGAAGTCTTCGGGACGGTATCCCAGGTGACAATCGGCTTTGAGAGGGATGGACAGGTGGTTGATTGTGTGTGTTGCTGTGATTTCCCAGTGGTTGTTCCAGCGGCTTGTCTGTGATTTTTCAGTAGTTCAATCATTGTTGAATGTTTCAGTGACTTTCCGATTGGTTTCAGTGATTGAATCCTGCTTCAATGTTCCACTGCGATTCGCTGACTATGCGACGACAGTCGGTGTGTTCTGCACTCGCCTGATTTGACGGTATCTCCGTGATTCAATGACTCGCTCCTTGCTTCAACCCCTTTTGTTCAGCTATTATTCTGCGATTCAGTGAGTTGTTCAATGATTCGTCACTTGTCCAGTAGTTGTTCACAACACTATTCTTCAACGAGTTTTCAGGGACTTATGACTGATTTCCTTGCTTTCCCAATGATTTCCCAAGATTCCGTGATTCTTCCATTGATTCAGTACCACGAGTTTTCGTATCATTGTGTCAATGGTTGCCCGAGATTTGTTCACTGATTTGCCAGCGATTCAATGATTTCTGCAGCATAATCACAGGCCGAACCCGACTACTGAAGGATCATTGAACAATAATCTGACCTCTTACTGGAATCACTGAATAAGTATAGGGCCGGCTCTTAACTGGAATGCTGCAAGATCTAGTACGGGTCATTTCCCGGCACATGCCGGACAAATGCTTGAAACTCTGCCCCCCCCTACCCACCCCCCAATGCAAAACGAACATGATTATGTTCGCAACGGACTTCCTCTGCGACCTAATAGCTCGTGATGGTTGGACAGCCTGATAATTTGATGCTCACTGCTGATCATGTTGTTTGTCAGCCAGCTCGAGGTGCCATTGGTGGAATCTACGTCTTGGGTTTAGAGGCAGTTCTTTGGCAAAGGTAATCTGTGCGACATGGGAAGATGGAACGCCTTCATACCAGTAGCATCTCACCGGATGCCGTCGATTTGCCGCGCGGTTTGAATCTGCATCAGAAGATTGCTTCCGTGGGTCAGTTTCATGTTTCAAACTTGCAAGTACATCTTGTCGGTCTTGAAGGCGGAACACCCCATGCACACTTCAGTGCACAAGTTTATTCTTGCGGGATGGGACACAGCATGCACCTCACGAGCCAGACAAGTGCCAGTCTAGCAATCTAAAACTGTTCCAATCTACAGCCGCCCTGGGGTGTTTTGAAAACCATACGCCAGACTTTCCAGATTGGGTTTCAGGGTGATGCCCTTCGTAATGGACTGCCAACATGAGAGTTTCCATCCAGATGGCAGGCGGCTGCCAAACAAGTAGGGTCCACGCCTACGCTTGTCGATTGGGCAGAGGCCTCTTTGCATTGCGATAGAAATTTTGGGTTTGGGCCACTTGAATAGCTTTGTTCCAGGCTCCTGGAGCTGCACTGCGTGTACTTAGAGGATCATGGGACTTAGTAAGTAGGGTTATAACTAAGGTAGCTATATTTATAACCCCAATTAGGGGACTTATAACCTTACTTACTAAGTCCCATGATCCTCCAAGTAGGATGGAGTAAGTGCTCATCTGGCCCTTCTTGGGGTCACCAGTCCATGAAGTCAGAGGGCTGCTTGGCGTTTGCGGGACATGGGGGACCGAGGGCACCCGGGGTTGACCGAACATTTACGGCGGCAAGCCACAAGCGAAAGGAGCATCCAGTTTTAAGCGTGCTTCACTGTCGCTGTGCTGAGCACCGAGAAACTTTTGCCTGGTAGAAGGGACACCCTCATCCATGCACAAATTTTCCCGTCGACCGGTACACCCACATTGTCGACTCGGGTGTGCTGTTGCACATAAAAAACAACTATTGGCAGCAAGCTCGTTCGCAAGCCTGAGAGAGGCAGCACTGGGAACCTCTGTCTCAGGCGCTTGATGCTGCTGGAAAGGCCATCCAGGATCGCGCGCTGACCTGACCGTTCAGGGTCTCGTGGAGTTTGACTTTCCACTTCACTTTGATTTACGTCCTCTTCGCATTCGGGTCTCTTGAACGCAAGACTGTCCAAGGGATGACCCAAGACTTCTCGGACGCACAGCCCCAAACCAACAGAGAAGAAGTCAAAGCCTCGAGGCCTAGGCGGAACGAAAGCACCCAACTTCCCGAGCTTTAAACTTTCTGGGCCAAGGGGACAAATCTGGGAAGTGCCAAAACCATGGACTCTTGCTTTGGCCGACGCTTAGCACCTGAGACCCTCACCTCCGAGCTCTGCGGACAGGAGTATGGCGGGGCGCAGCAGGGAGACAGGACCCACAGAAGTTCTAGACCGGTCGGGTTTCTCAGGAATTGGTGCACTCCCAAACTCAACAAGGCTGCTTTCCGATGCAAAGCCAAAGGGTGTTGACCTTCCTGGCTAGAAGTGCTGCACATTGGGTCATGCCTTTCAGCGACATAGCTGTGGCACTCAAGCATACCCAACGATCGACTTTGGGCAGCAAGCCTGAACCCCAGACTGTGGTAACAAGACTTGCCAGGCAGTCCGACCATGGGCACTGCTGAGCAGGGTACGTGTGTGTGTGTGTGTGTTGTGTGTGTGTGTGTGTTGTGTGTGTGTGAGTTGTGTTTGTGTGTGTTGTGTGTGTTGTGTGTGTTGTGTGTGTTGTGTGTGTTGTGTGTGTTGTGTGTGTGTTGTGTGTGTTGTGTGTGTTGTGCGTGTTGTGTGTGTTGTGTGTGTGTGTGTTGTGTGTGTTGTATGTGTTGTGTGTGTTGTGTGTGTTGTGTGTGTGTGTGTGGTGTTGGTGTGTGTGTGTGTGTGTTTGTTTGTTTCTGTGTGTGTGTGTGTGTCTGTCTGTCTGTGTGTGTGTGTTTGTTTGTTTCTGTGTGTGTGTGTGTGTCTGTCTGTCTGTGTGTGTGTGTGTCTGTCTGTCTGTGTGTGTGTGTGTGTCTGTCTGTGTGTGTGTCTGTGCGTGTGTCTTTGTCTGTGTGTGTGTGTGTCTGTGTGTGTGTCTGTGTGTGTGTGTGTGTGTGTGTCTGTGTCTGTGTCTGTTTCTGCAGGTGTGTGGTCGCGTGTTAGCTAATTTGTTTGTTCGTGTGTTTGTTTTGTTTGGTTGGTTGGTTGGTTGGTTGGTTGGTTGGTTGGTTGGTTGGTTGGTTGGTTGGTTGGTTGGTTGGTTGGTTGGTTGGTTGGTTGGTTGCTTGGTTGGTTGGTTGTTTGGTTGGTTG